TATATATATATATATATATATATATATATGCCGGTCACTTCTGAGTATCCAAAAAAAATATATATATATATATTTATATATATATATTTATATATATATATATTTTTTTTTTTTGTATTTTCTCTGACTAAATCGATCACAGCCTTGCACTGACTTGGATAGATAGGGCAAATGATCTCTTTGATGAGCCGAAATGTGGTGCGAGCCAAAATGTAGCATGTCAGGGATTTCTCCACATTAAATTGGTTGCTTCCTTATGACATTCCATCTTGCATGTTGTAAATTATCTTATTATTTGGCTTAGACTATTGGCTTAGATTCATTGTGTTTAATTGTGTCTGCAGAAGCCTTAGAACCCAGAGTTTTATCAAGATGTTAGGTTTTATTGGGCCTGAGAAGAGATGTTGATGTGTTTTTGTTCGTTGTGTGCTTACCAGACAAAGTGGTGAACAAACACAGGGCTTTGTTCCTCCATCATCATACAGCTGGCGGCACCAGGTTGAACCAGCTCTGTAATCCTCAGGTTTCCTTCTTAAACTTCCCCCTCGTCTGCAGCGCATAATTAGCTACTTTGTTTTAATCAGTTGATGTGAATAATGACTAATAGGAAAATTTTGGACTCCCAAGGTTTCAGGTTTTTCAGGAACAGCCATCTCTGTGGGTCAGGTTAACATCCTGTGATTTAGATTCAGGAAACAAAAACTCTAAACTATAATCCTTTTAAAGGTGGGTCGTTGTCCATGTTGCTCCATTCTATTTTGTAATACTAGTTCTCTATGATCTCTTGTATAATTGCTGAGTCATTGTGGCCTGTGCTGCCACTGGTGGCGTTGTATTCCCCATGCTGCCCAGTATGAGACTAATTTTTGGAGTAACTATGGAGCAATAGGAGTTGACGCCATTATTATTTTTTTGCTAGTTCCATTTTTTTTCCCAACTCAAAATGTTTTTTATTCACGGTTTCTGCGGGTCAATAAAAATCATTAAATTCTTATTTTTTAAATTAAGGCCTTAAATGGCATTAAAATTAATTAAATTTGATAATCGTGGCATTAAAATGCTTCGGAAGTTATGGGTATTTGTTGATGGCATTAAGATGATTTCTAAGAGCATTAAAAGAGCATTTAATAAGAGTTACTCATTCATGTATAAACCTTGTTATTGGGGATAAAGTTTAGCAGCAAAGATCCTCATCATTTATACATTCCTATAGAATAACACAGTTTAAATTAAACCTTAGTTATTGGGATGGAGACAAGACTTATTGTAAAGGCTTGTCTTAAAGTATTTAAAATTACATTTTTTTTACTTAACACAGTACAAAATTGATATCAGTTCTGTGTAATTTAAAAACAACACAAAGATGGCAGGTTTCTGAACTGTTAGCTAATAATTTTGGTACCACAGAGTTCCTCATTAGGTCCTCTGCTTTTAAGTTTGTATGCAAATGACATTATTGTTGTTTGTCCAACTTGTTTAACCCTTAAACAGCTTTATAACAGCAGATTAGCAGTGATTTCCAGACGTCTGGCTGTTTATCATCATATATTCAGGTTAATGTGGATAACATTCAACCTTTAAAATCTTTATGGTTTTGAAATTATGCAAATATAGCAATTTTTCTTCCCTGCAAACAAGGTACACAACTTCACAACTGGAGACACACCTCTCTGCAGAGGTTTACTGGTACAATATATGTAGGCTGCTGCTTCAGATTCAAAACTCTGTTTACATGGCTATTACGTCCAGACAAAACAATCTTGCAGCTTTCATCAGAGGCATTTGATCTTTAAGACTGATACACAGAAAATATTAAAAAGGCTGAAACATCAGAGTAGGTGCTAGACTTATAATCATTAGTGGTTTTTGAGAGAAAATGAAGTCTTTTGCTGTAGTAAATGTTCTGGATGCAGGACCAGTTCCCGGCATGGCAAGTTTATTTGTATAGTACACGGACAATTCAAAGTGCTTTACATTAATTAGACTATAAAATAGCAGAAAAGTAAAGCAAATAAAGGTAAAAACATGGTGAAAGCAGATGTACTTTTAGTTCCGCAGGATTCGTTTGTCCAAGTTAAATTTTGTCAGCAATGGTTTGATAATTGCTGTTTTTATCGCCCGGGAGGAAACGCCTAACATAAGGGATGTGTTTATGATTTGAATCAAATCGGACTCTGAAACAGGTAAAACCCTCGGAATAAACTTGTTAGAAAAACATCAATAGAAGAGGAGCTTAGCTGCTGAACACTTTCTTCTAAACTTTGGCAGATTGTTCGGCAGCACTGGGGCATTTTAACAGTTTTTATTCTAGCTGGAGACAGTATTGGTGATGGAGTTGATGATGGACAGACCACTTTGTTTTTAATACCTTATATTTTCTTAGTAAAAATCTTGTCAAATTCTTTGCAGGCCTTTTTAGATTGGAGCTCATTGGTCACGGAGATAGGAGGGTTTGTTCTGTAAATCTGTTGGCTTTGGCAAATCAGGCACGAGCATTAATGTTTTTTGTTGATAACATCATAGAAGAAAGATTCTGTTGCAACTTTTAGTTGTAAATTATATGTGTGAAGTTTATCTTTATAGATTTCATTGTGAACTTGGAGGCCATTCTTTTGCCACCTTGGTTCGGTTTTTCAGCACTCCATCTTTTCTTTTCTCCCTGCTGGAGCATTTCTCCATGGACGTTATATCCTCCCAGAGACGACCTTCCCTGTAACTTGAGCAATGAAATCAAAGAAGTCTGTAACTTTTAGAATGTAAATTATCAACCAGCTCATCTACTGAGTTACAGGCTTAAGTGGAAATGAAAGGATAAATGAGGATAAAGTTTTCTATTGCAAGTTTTCACGACAGCAAGCTTTATAACATCTTGTTTGGTAATTGGACCAATAGGAAAATAGTTTTAAACTAAACAGAAAAACAAACAAATTAGCTACTTCTGAATACACAAAATATCCCCCATCCAGTCTAAACCTTGGTTGATTAGAAATAAAAAAATCTCAGTTTACATGAACACTAAGTAAAATTATCTGATTATGCTTTTTGTTACATCCACCAGGCGTTTGATCAGATTAAAACATTTAAGTATGCAGGGATCTTTCTAATTTTCCAGAAAAACTGTATAAAAATGTGCGCGGCACACATCCCCAGTGGAGTTTGTTACTCCAGAGGTCCAAATGTGTGTGTACATAGACGCCATTTGGAATGGCGATCGGCAGAAAAACTCCTCTCTCTTTCAGAATGAAATTTCTTTTTGATTGGACTCGATCTGATTAAAATCTTTAGTCTGACATCTTTACATAAAACATTTTTGATCCGATCAGGCCTTTAATCAGATTATTTTTTGCCAATTTTAACGTCGCTTTTGTGTTTTTCTAGCTGAAGGAAAAGTCTGAACATCCAAGGGGTAACTAGTGTCAGAATGGAGTTGGGGTTCTTGGATGGTGAATTAACAAATTGCTGCTGCTGCAAACATTCCCCAAACCCTGACACTTGCACCTGGCTGTGCTGTTTGGTTTAAGCTAAACGCATCCATTGTTCCGCCTTTGTAGAAACTCTACTTCAGACTCATCCGTCTCTTTGTTTGCTAACTTCACACACCTTTCCCCACAGGGCAAAGGTCTCCCTCTTGTACAGCTTTCTTGGAAATTAATCTTGTGCAGTAATTTTCTCATTGTTCAGGCCTGCTCTTTCAACCATTTATTCGCTATCTTCTAAATTAAGATAACCCAGGCCAACATTGTTAGAATCCAGAGTTTTGACAAAATACGTTTCTGTTTTCTGAACACAATTTGTAATTCTCTAGCATAGATTATCAACAACAAAATATTTCATTGTGACACTGTGGATTTTCCGTGACAAAAGGACATGGTACATGTTTTCTTGGCTCCATGAGTCATGGGTGTGTGTGTGTGTGTGTGTGAGTTTTTCTGACTTCATGTCATGTGTTGGAGAGGAACAGGGTGAGAAGTGAAGCAATAAGCCTGCTGGATGCTTTGTCCTGTTCTCAGCTGCGCTCTAATTTAGACAACATTCCTGGACCTGTTGAAGTGACGCATGTCAGAGGTTCCACACGCTGATCATAATAGGTTCTGATGGAAAGTGTAAAACCTGTAGCTGATGAATTAGCATCGGCTCTAAACTCCACGTCATTACCTGCTGATGAAGGGATTTTTTTGTGTGTGTGTGCTAAACTCCTGGGCTAAAATTAGCTCTCCTTTGAGGGTAAAGAAGGTGCCTCCTCCTCTAAGGGGTGGAGTGTTGAGCTAACCAGGGAGACTGCAATTGCATAACTTATGTTCAGACTCTAATCATGGGAGTGTTCAGAAAGGTGGGGAGGGAAAGAAATCTCTATAAAACAAGCATTTTAAGAATGTTCCTTTTTTTATGTGATGCAAACAATTTCTTTGGTATCTGCTGCTTTTTAAAATGCAAAAAAGGAACTGTTTTGCATCAATAAACTAGAAAGTTTGTTTTACTTCCTTTCCTTTTTGTTTTTCTTTGGAAACATTCAAACCCGCATAGCTCGGTGTCTCAGGGTTTACCATGGATGTGAGAAGGCAAAGTGGCAAAGAGAAGTTAATTTTGACATGATGCTAAGGGCCTTTGCTGGTTTTTCTCACCCATCTGTTATCCTACCTTGGAACTGTGAAGTTTATTTCTATACAGAGTGAAGCTATTAATAGTGGCTGAACTTTAAAATGCATGAATATAGCTCTGGTGGGTTTATTTCCTACTCGTCTGTTGTCTTTGTTCATTTTTTCCCATTCTTTTTATCAGAAAGCCCCGCCCCCTCCTCCTGACATGTTAAAACAGACATTTAGCTTTTGTCGATCCTGTTTCACGGTCTTGCTTTCTTCTGTTCCTCGGGCCATGTTTTAAAAATCCACACACGAAGCACAGTTCTGTTGTCAATCAGGTCACACAGTTGACTGCCAGGGAATTCTGTAATAGGGAAATAAGAACGAGCAATTATGAGAGGAAACCAGGAAATAGGAGCCGAGCAGATTTTCAGATTTAATGGCAGCTTTATTTGATCTCTGGTTTTTCTGTAGAAAGCACACAATGTTCATCACCTGATGATAACCTGATGTTTGCAAACAGAACAGCACCAGAAAGGAATAAAATCCCTGTATTGAACTCCATAGAGTCATAAAAAAGCTTGTTTCACCATTGAAGGAGCAGTTAGTACAGGTGCGTTCATTGAATAAGGGTTTGGCCTGAGCATGGACCTAGTCCAAACCCTAAGGAAGAGTAGTGGCTTTCTGTTAGCTGCCTAATGGTGTTCATTAGTGGGGGGAAACCCAGTCCTGCAGATCTTAAGGCCCTGATGACATAGCTAACAATCTACATGCTTAGGATGAGAGAAGTGATGATCATAGTCAATGACTGAATAAAACTCTTAACATGTAAATCACATTTCACATACTGTATTCTTGTAGAAGTAACTGCGTTTGTCACAGTGAACGCAGATATGCCGCAGATACTCTGGTGCACCTCTCCGAAATTGTAGGTGACCGCAGACAGGAGGCTGATTGGTCAAATCTACATCCGCTCTACACTACGCATATTTCCTGTTTGGTACCTCATTGGATTATTTTATTTGTATGACCGCCATTGTGAAAATAAACTATTTTTTTCCTTTCTTTCCTATTCGGGCAGAGTTTAATGAGACCATGAGTGAGAACAACGACACAGTCGGACAGATCGTCCACTACATCATGAAGAATGAAGGTATGTGTCCCATGACCTCTCCTCCCTTCTCTAGAGAAAAATGTTAATGTCTTTACTGGAAGTTTGTTTTGGGTTTGTCTGAACTCATGGCTGCAGGCTGGATTGATTCCCCTCTGCCTACCTCTTCCTGGAGTCCTTCCTGCTCTGTGTTGTTGGGAAGGTCATTTTCAGACTCCGCTCAGGAAGGAAACCAGAACTCTGGGAGAGAGCTGCGCTCCAGGCGGCTGCAGCTCAAAGAGTTTGGCTCAGAAATAAGAGCTTTCTCGTTTTAATGAAAGTTATAACAGGAGACTGCTAAAATGGAAGATATGGCTGGATTAACTCCTGGTTTTCATCAAAGTAAAACTGGTTCTACTGGTTTTATATTTCATCCTTTTTCTATTGAAATCCAAGAACGTTTAAAGCTGCTGTTGGTGTAATTGTATTGACGTGGCCTAAAACCTGGAATAAAACTAGGGCTGGGCGATAATTCAATAACGATATATATTGATCGATAGACGTGTGGCGCAATAGAAAAAAAGCAGGTTGATAAAAGTTCGATAAAAAAGAAACGCAGTTTTCCTTCCTTCTCATTGTAGCCTATCATGTAGGTTTATGCTAGTCACTACTTCCTCCCAACCAATCACAATCGCGGACCCAGGCACGCCGTCACAAAGAGCCGCCCTCTCAAACCACAACACAGAGCCGATGAAGATGTCGCAGCAAGGAGAGGCGGAGGAAACTGTTCCAAAGAAGGGTTTTTGTAGTTCGCCAGTTTGGCAGTATTTCGGTCATGGCAAGTCGGACAAAAAACAAACCACAGTCATCTGTAAAATGTGTAGGGAACCAGTGAAAACGAAGTCTGATAACACAACCAACTTTTTTTTTATCATCTCAGCCGCTCACACCCGCAGGAGTACGAGCTGTGTAGGCCACGACGCGTATCTGCGTCGTCCTCCGAGGAATCTTTGGGAATTTCGGGAAAATATATATATATTTTCAGTTCTGGGCAGTTTCCCACGTAGTCTAACGAGTAAGCTAAGCCGAACCAGGTTCAGCTTAGAAGAATGCGGGCTGTTGTATTTATTTTGGTGACTTTTTTAGTCACTTTAGTTTTTCTTTGTCAGTATTTAATAACTCAGGTCTCTTAAGTTATTTTTCTTTAAAACAATTCTGTTATGGTTAAAAAAGTTGGTTAAATAAAGATTTAATTGGAAGTCTGTGTTTGTGTTCTTTATTAAAATTAAATAATTTAGCAATATTATAAAAAGTCCAGGCAGAGCTGCACATAAAATATGGTTTCAAATCTTTTCAATAATTATCGATATCGATCAATATGCATTTTTTTTTTATCGATAAGCTTTTTTTCTATATCGCCCAGCCCTAAATAAAACATCCCATCATAGAGGAGGATTTAAACCAGACTTTTTGTACATTGATGTCTGTGTTTTAGCAATGATAATAAGAATAGTAAGAAACTTAAAATTTTAGCAGAGCTGTAGAGGAATTATGTTTTTATCAAAGGAGGAAAAAAAGAAGGGAAGTTGATGATATAGGGACTAACACCAGTAATTAGAACAGCTCAGTTTTAGTCATTTCACCTTTTTTATATGTTGTCACAAAATTGTCACAAATATTACTTATTTGAACTTTTGAACTGAATGATTTTGGACATTTATGATTAGAGTTAGACCTGTACTAATGGTTAATAATCATGGGGCTCTGAAAGTTAAGTTAATCACTCCTCATTTATCTGGTAGGAATGAGGGAAAGATTTAAAAAAATAAACTCAGTCTTAGGCTGTATTGATATCCCAGGGGGAAAGGAAGTCAGACGTTTAAAAATGGGTTTAAACAAACTCAGAAGAATTTTTTGGGTTTTAATATTTAAGTTGATTAGTTATCTTTTGTTTTATAGTAGGTGTTGGAGGTTCTGATTATTGTGCTATTAATAAACAAAAAGCAGAAGAAAAAAAAATATATATTTATACTCATTTAAACCTACTGAATAGATTGATTCAAATTAAAGGTATTATTATTGTTCTGTGTGGAAAGTTATACTACTAAAATGTCTAAGCAATAAAATTAGTTTTTTATTCAATTTTTCTTTTTTTTTGCTTGGCAGTGTGAAAACATATGCAGAGGTCATTATATAGGAATAATAACAAATAAGAAAACCATAGATGTCCTTCTATTTTTAATATTTTTTGGGCCATAGATTGGAGCAGTTTTATTTTATTTATTTGAATTTTTTCATTTTAACGATAGTATAAGCTGTGAAAAAAGGTTCAAAATAGCTTTAAATAGTTTTAAATAAAATGAATCTCTGCATACGACATCCCATCAACACAACAGTTTCTACGGCCAAACTGGGTAGACTTCCTGTTCCTGATGATGACCCCACCTCTGACATACAAAGCCGTTATCGTGGCGTCTTTGATTCATTGTCCCGAGCTTTAGGTTGACTTCAGCGGTGACCCAGCTGACTCATCACGGCCACGAGTGCTGGAGCCCTTTAAATGTGATTCATTGTCTGTCTGCTGGGAATCAGGTTTCCAGCAGGAAACTACTCACTAGAGGATAAATACGGCTATTCCAGGGTATGTCAGAGGTATTTTGGGTTGTATTTGCTTTTGTATTTCAGGAATGGGGAAGCTGAGTAACCCTAAACACTACTTCTATCCACAGTAGATATTCTCTGAAGATAACAAACCCAGGAAGTCTAAGACTAAAGGAAATGCTGCCCCCTAGAGGCAATTCACTAGAACACACACAAACAGAGTAGGCTGCACATGATGAGATTTAAATGGGATTCTCTGCCTAGTTAGTTCAATAAATATTACAACCTTTTAGTCCATAATATTTACAGCAACATAATTGGGTATGAACTGATTGATGAAATACAGAAGTATAAATTTTAGTGATATAATTAGATTGACTTATCACGCTATTCAAAGGCTTTCTGACTTATAAAACAGATGTCACAGCGGCTCCATTAGAGGTTAAGTGGAGCGGAGTTTGTTCAGGTACACAGAGTAGACCCACTTAGGATTCTTTCAGTCGTGGGTTCTTTAATTTTTTTATTTATTTTTTGCTTCTTTTTTTGTCAGATTAAAAGTATGTCTATTATATTTTTGATTAATAATCGGATAACCAAAGGTTCCTTAAAGTAGATTTTTCACGAAATTAAACTAGGTGAAATTTTTAACTTTTCCAATTGAGTTCTGGATAGAACATATTGACAGACGGAAAAGTTTTTTTGATCTTAAATGCAAAATGTTTATATATATTTTCTAAACATTTATTCAGTCCATACTTAAAAAAAAAATAATAAAAAAAAAATAATGATACTTTCACGAAAGGACCAAATGACGTTTGAATCTTGAATTAAGCAATCCTTTTTCTTTGTGTCTTTGTTTAATATTAATATTATTTGATCTGAATCCATTTCAGTAGAAATCCATTTTTTTCACACCCTTGTTTTCATCTCCTGCAACAGAAAATGCAATTAATTAATTAAGTTTTACATCCTCAGCTGATCAGCTGTTCTCTGCATTGGAGCACATTTGTTCCACTTTTCATTTTGCATTAAAAGCAACTTCTGATGTAAATACTGAAAATTCAGATGTTGTTTTGACAACAACCAGCCTATCACATTACTTTTCATACTTTACATCCCGGTGACGGGGCTCATGACACCTTCAAGGTTGTGTTTATTCTTTGTTTTTTGAATTTTAATAAGAGGTGGAACAGCTGTTTATGGTTCTCCATTTTAAAACATATACAGTTTTAAGGGATTTAACAAGATAAATGGCTCCAGATTCCTGATTTCTGTTTAAATGACTCCAGTACAATCCAGTGTAATAAAGAGACGCTAACTTTGTTGCATTTATTTTAACTAAATCCTAGTTAAGGTAACAGTCAAATTCAGCTGATTGTTCCAGTCAGTAAAGAGAAAACCAAAACCATTAAGGCTTATTTCCATAGAAACAAGTTTTTCTTTTGTTTGTTTAATTTTTTGGTAGTTAGATATCCATGCTAATTAAATTGTTTTTTTATTTTCATTTCCCCAAACCACCCTAAAATGTTGATAATATACACACATTACCGGTATGTTGTCACAGAATCACTAACTATGTTTTTAGAAGTAAACACATTTTATTCCATTAGGATGTGGAAACGATGAGCTTTTAATGTCGTTTCACTGAGGAATAAATGTTTAACCCTCAAATACAACGCCATATTTTTCTTTGAAGACTAGCTGTTAATTTGGTCAGACACCAGAAGGTTTATTTTACTTGACTTGTATCAGTCTAAAACATATACTTAGACTTTACTCATAGTAAATACCCAATTTAATAGATGCATATTATGTTTTAAACAACTATGTATTTTTTTCTTTCTAGTCTTTTGTTTGGCTAACTGATAAAAAACCGGTAATAAAAATGCATTTGTGTCCCTTTAAAACCCTCTAAGTGACCCTAAATGGTTCTTTTATGCTGCTACAGCTGCCCCATCCCCACACGACTAACAAAAAAACACCCTGCGGTATTTTTATGACAGGGCCTTGGTTCACAGAGAGGACCAAGGGCAGCACTTTCCAGTTAGATGTCCGTACAGATTTTCATAACTTTTACCAAGTCGAGTCTTATTTTCCCATATCTCCTTTTCTTTTCTTTTAAGAGGATGCTGTGGGACTTGATCTGTTCTGTCATCCTTAAACTTAATTTAGTCAATCTAGACCTGGCAGAGGCAAATGTGCGCCTCTCTCCAAAATATGTAAATCTAGATCTGATTTGTCGGCTCTAATATTAAAGGAAGTATGTGGTTTTAGTTTGAATTGTGAGAATTTTCAATGTTATTTCCAAAGAATATTCTTCAGGGATGTTTTTTTTACAACTGATTTCATTCGGTTCCCATAGATTCCCCCTGGCGTTGCAGTGAGAGCTTAGGAAATGAGAAAAATGTGTGATTTGATGTTTTTTAATTAAAAGTTTAGCTTTTGAAGAAGCCTTTGAAGTGAATTTGCCATTCTCTTCATGCATTGGACTCTGACGCTACATATATTTCCATTTATTGTTTTCATTTGTTAACATTTGACTCTGTTTTCCTCCTCAGCAAACTCTGATGCCCTGAACGCCATGGTTCACCAGAACAGCATCGATTCAGATGTGTAAGTATCATCATCTCATGTGTTTATTGCAAAAGCAGAGGTTGTGTGCACTAAAAGGTTTCTTCCACCAGGTGGCACTGCAGGCCTCCTTGTAAACCTCTTGTCTTGTGACATTGATAAGCAGGAACTCTCCAAGCAATCAGGCCATGTTTCTTTTCTTGATTCTTCTCCAGATTGGCAGGGTTTGATGGAGGCCAAGCAGCTGGAGAATATTTCCCAAATGCTGCTGCGCCCCACATTGGTGCATTGTGGGATTTTAAAGCCATATGTGCAGCTTTTCACATTTTGTTTTTATTGGGTTTTAAGTCAGAATACATTTTGGGGACTGTAGGTTTAAATTAATAAAAGGAAAACTAAATTAAAACTCTAGCTGTTAATGCCGGGACCTCGATATGTTTCAGACATACTTAATTGAATATTTATTCAATTGGCACAGATTAGGTTTATTTTGGTGTCATTCATTTAGTTATTTTTTTAACCATATAACCATTAAAATTACTATATTTGTTTAAATCCTGAGCACTGGATTCTTTTAAATGTTTTGATTGATTTTCTGTATATAGTTTGGTCATTTGTTAAGCCTGATTATCAAAAGCTTTATTGGATTTACAACCCAGGGCAGCATTTAAAAAGTTACAGTGTAAACTAATTTAACTTTTCATCATTCAATAGATTCTACGGAGCCCCTCTGATGACATGGTCAAAAAAATTTTTTAATTGTGGCCACGAAGTAGTATTTCGTGCGCACGAAATACTACTTCGTGGCCACGCAATAAGTATAACGTCCACAAAATACTTATTAATAATATTAATATCATTCCTGGACAACTGGGTAAGCAAATCGAGTGCGCCATAGACCTTAGAGAAGGCGTAGACCTTAGAGTAGTATTTCGTGCGCACGAAATACTACTTCGTGGCCACAATTAAAATTTTGTTTTGACCATGTCATCAGAGGGGCTCCGTAGATTTCTCCTCAAAATTTAAATAAAACACCTGATTAGTTGACTACAACTATACAAAAGTAAATAAAAAACAGAAAATGTAATAACTTTAAAGCTTTAGTTATTTTATTCAAATGAAAATGAGACTCAATCGAACCAATTGCCATACAAAGGTTTCACTGAAATATTGTTATTGAAAGTTGTTTAGGGAAAATTTGGCAAAAAATATAGTTGGTTAAAAAAAATATATAGTTTCTTGGCAGCTTAGGATTAAAAAAATAATCAACCCCTAATCAAGTAAGGAAAAATAACTACAAAGAGTAGCAGCAGCAATTAAATATAATGTTTTGTAATACTTTTCAGATGAATGACTAATAAAAGATCAGTGACTTCTAGAAATGTTGAGGTGTGGGGCAAATAAACTAAATATTGAAGAACTGGATGTAAATTTATTATCTAAAAGCTAAACCTTTAAATGCTAGCATAAATAGCTTTTTTTTGTTTTGGTTTACTTTAATGGAAAGAAAAAGGGTTAAACAAATGACACCAATCTTAATTAATCTATAGCTAATATATTTGAAGTTTTTATTCTTTTTTTTTTTTTAAAGTATATTTATTTTTATTAAGCTAATTTGGTGTCCGCAAGCTAACTACTTGCTGGCTAGTTAGCACATTAGCCCATTAGCTGAGTTTGAAACGGCTGCTTCTCAACGCTTTGCAGATGATCAATAAATACTTAGTAAATTGTGATTTTTGATTGAATTCTATACTATTTAGTTTTAGAAATGATAAACTATGAGCTTTTATTTTCTCTCATAGTTTTGTCAAAAGTATCGCGTTTATAGATAAGAAGAATGTGGATGTTTTTTTGGGGGAAAAAACATCTCAGGACTGTGAAAATCCTTGTTAATGTGACTAAGATTCAATCAGAATGTTTAACAGACAGCCTGGTTTTAAAAGGGTGATACTTTGAGTATTTTTTAATTTATCTCTGTAAAAATATATAACAGGAAATTATCAGTATGTTTGCAGGAACTGAATAAAATTGGGACGTAGAAGGGATTTGCGATGGCGTGACGTTAACATGTTTTTCCTGTCAGATTATCATTATCCCCTTAAAAATAACCAGTTTTCTTGCCTTTATTTACATCCAATCAGCATTATTCGTGCTTTAACATTTTAAATCAAAGGCTTTTTCCTTTTAAGTGCATGAGAGGTGACTCTAGTCAAAGGTAGATGTTCATCGATGGGAATAACAAGAGAAGAAAGTGAAAGGGGAAATAAAAAAACTGACACTCTAAAAGAAGGCATGCTAGTAACTGAGAAGATGTACATGAAATTAGAGGACTACATTTCCCATCGTCTGTCCTCTGCTTTTATCTTCCTCTAACATTCATGCAGTAGAAGAGAAATCATTTTTTGATCGGGTGAATAAACAGTAGCACCGTTCCCTCTGCAGAACAGAAGTGTTGAGGTCCGACTCATCCATCACTCTCGACTGTGCTGAGCAACTTTCGCCTCCAGTTTTCCCTCCCGATATCTCAAGTCACATATTTCCAGCCCTTGTTTTCCCTTCCACTCGTTTCTTTCATTTCAAATTGCTCTCCATAGCGCCTACATGCACCCCCCCTTCTCTGGCTATTACAATCCATATCTTTCCGTTTCCCTCAGTTGGGCAGCCTGCCAGCAGATCACTTAGAGATGGTGGATAGGGTAGAAGAGGGGTATTGGTTGGGGTTGATTTATTGGATACACAGGCTTAGGGTGACGGACAGAAAAACAGAATGATTTGGAAGTAGAGGAAAAGACGGATAGAGGGAAAACACGAACATGAGGCCGACTGTAGTGTAGCCAGGATTTACTTCCCACATTTTCTTCTTGGTGTTTCTTCCCCTGCATCCTTCAGCCTCCTTCCTCTTCACTGCATCACATCCCTATGTGGAAATAGAGGACCAAAATCCTAACTGCACACCTGCATAAAAAAAAAACATTTAAATACATCTTCTTTATAACAGAATTGTTGCAAGACATATATATATATAATGAGAAAATATTTAGACCACGCTTCTTTGTATCTTTATATTTATCTTAGATGTCATTGCATCCCAGTTGTGCGGCCTACATGTTATTAATAGCTGCAGGGATTTCCTCCTCATTTTTATTCTATTTATTTAATTGAACAATAAGTCGAAGTTTAACAAAACATCAATATAAAGGATATCTTTATTAGCAGAGACACTAATTACAGTGATTTTGAATCTGTAGGCAGGTCATTAAAGGTTCAATGTAAACCTGCTGTTCTCAGTCTGCCAGTCGTGTGAATTCTACCTTCAACGCTTCCAAATCCAACGGTTATTTTGTAAGAATTAAAAAGCAGCATCTAATAAACACAGGCTCAGAAAAGCAGCAAAATCCTCCTAAACCTGATCACCCTCCCCTTTCTACACCCAACCTGAGCGATTATTTTTTTATTTATTTTTTGTGGCCGCTAAGGAGATGTGAACTCCAAAATAATTGCGCCTTGGTAACAAACAATCTCTGCTTTGCTTATTTACATCAGCAGGCAGGAGCTGCGTTTGCTCCACAGTTGTGTGCAAATAATGAGCGCTGCTGCTCTCCAGGGCCACACAAGACGAAAACGCGTAGGGGAACAAAAAAAAAGATGAGAAACATGGCCTCAATTGGCCTCTCTTGTTCGAATCCAGAGGCAAATATGAGCGTGAAAAGGAAGAGAAACCTGCAGATAACTTGGAAAATTAACAGAGGAAAAAAAAATCTTTTATCATTGCTGCTGTGAAGAGAAAGTTTCCATCATTTCTACTTTCTTGCTTTAAAGAAAATCAATGAAGGGCGGTTCTCAAGGGGTTGTCAGTAATTGCTTAGAGGTATGAAATATTAATGTGTCATTCAGCAGCGACAGGTTTTAACTTGGGAAGCGCAGCTCTTCTTTTTACTCTTTTCGCTGTAAAAACTAATTGAAAGGCAGTTGTTTGCTATTCTGGGGAATTACTCAAAGCTGCTTCAGTGGTTGTTATGATAACCCCTCTTCTAATATGACTCTTTATAATAGTTATTGTTCAGGCGCTGAACTGGATTGGAGCTCACGTTGTTGATGTCACCACTGCTGTACCAAATACCTTTGATGCATCAGGCTTTGGTCCATTTAAGATCTCTAGAGTCAATGATGTGACCATTTAACTGCTGCACATCTGCATCTTTAATGCATCGCTCACCATGACTCCTCAGCCTAAGCTGAAAACTGGAAATTGTGCAGCTTGTTTAAGAGCGGAGGAGGGGAAAAAGTAAGATGGCTAACTCTTAAGTTTCTGTGTTCAGTTCTCCGACGTCACCCGTCTCTCTGGCTTCTTCGACCCCACCACCGACCCCCATATCACCAGGGGCGCCCCCCGGAGCCCCGAAGCACACGTGCAACCACCTGCACACCATCGGCGGCCTGGGCGGCCACAAGAACATCTGCAACCGCTGCAACCAGAAGAAATGGCCGCTGATGAGGAAGCCCTCAGCCCGAAAGTCAGAGCAGCGCCGCAGCAACGAGGTCACCGTCCTCTCTGTGGGCAGGTGGGTAATTCCTCAACTCCGACAAAAACTATGATGATACTTTGAGATGATTGTCTGACATAAAAGAAATCTGAAGACTCTAGTAAGAGGTTAATGTGGATCCGCGAAAAAACATATTTTTAAACAAAACTATCATGCTATGGAGCTAAAAGATTACAGATTACATCTTCTGTTAGTATGACCTGTAAAACGCATTTAGCTGTTTTGATAAATAAACACAGTGCTTTACATTGAAGCACTGGTTGAAGGCGATTTTTACCTAAACTAAGTAATTCATATTTTTAGTCATTAATGTTTGTCTGTCTTTTAGCAGGATGAGTTGAAAACTTGTAAACAGATTTCAATGACATTTTTGCCAGATGTGCATGTCATGCCAACGAACCATCCATTACATTTTGGTGATGATCCAGATCATAGTACGGAAACTGGAATTTTAAAGGATTCTTTAACATCATTTGTCAGAACAAGCAGTTCCCTCCCAAACCAGAAGGTGGCAGCAGTGATTATAGACGTCTTCGGCATTCGATTAAAAAAGTCCAGAAGTTTTATACACTAGACAGAAATACCAAAACGCAAGAAAAGGGAGCTATGACTCGCTCAAAGTCTCAATCTGCTGATGAAAGAAGAAAACAGAGGGAATGAAGAAGGTGAGAGCAGGACAGACACCAGAGGCTGCAGACACGCCATTTCTCTGTAGGGGAAATGTTTACCAGAGGTGCGCCTCATGCCAAGGAAGCGTTCATTAGAAATTTGTAATGATCCAGATCATGTGTGTGTTTCAGCTATAGGTGTAATTATATGGGGAACATTAGCTGCTTGGTGGAGGTCTGCGCTCTCTGAGTGCTTTTCTGATTCTCTAGTTTATCAGGAACTCCAACTTTTTTTTTACCAATAGATTGTGTAAAGTGTTGCAATAATTTGTGTTCAGTCCCCTGGAGATATATTGTTGACCCATCCCCCTCCCCACACCCTTTCAATGCATTTATATCTGCTAAGTTTCTGTGTCCTTCAGCTTTGAACATTTAGAGACGGAGCTGTTTTGCCATTTTTTTCCCCCTTGTGAACTAAATCAAACTCAGTCAAATTAGATGCAGAACATGAATTTACATCTCTTGTCTTGGATTCTTTTAAATTTAAGGTGTGGACTGGATCCTTTCATGATGTAGTTTTCAATTATGGTCTTATCTTTTTTTTATCGCTCCTTTTGGGGGTATTTTTTTTCGTCATTGTTTTCGTGCCAATCTTCCAGATACTTCATATTTATAGAGTGCCCTGCAAACAGGTTCAATAGCTGTTGAGACACCTGAGCTGTGGATTTCTGCAGCTCCTCCAGAGTTACCACGAGCCTCTTGGCTGTTTTCTCTGATAATTGATTTGTTTTTCCAGCCTGCTGTTGTTTCCGTCACTAGGTTTGTAGCTAAGTTTCCAGATATTTGAACATTATGATGCTTTTACTCTTCAGGTTCCGCGTGACAAAATGCGAAAAACCAGCCAAGGATCGACGCACTATACTGATATCAGAGTCTAACGGCAGCGTCCCGTCAACACCCACAGAGGTGGCCCGCCGCAGCAGAAGGATGTCAGAATCCCAACAGGTTGGTGTTCTGCTCAGATTTTTCTGTGGAGGCAGCATTGCTTTTTCTGTTGCTGCCCTCTCCTATTTAACATGTTCAAATAAACCGTCAAAAAAAGTCAACTTTATTGCCGTTGCACAACTAGCTCTAAGAAATTGATGACTTTCCTACTTTTAAGTTTATAACATTTGATTAAATTCCACTGTTAAGAAATAAATACATAAAAAAACTGAAACCAAACAACGGAGTCCAGTTCAGTTTGTAGCAACAGTAAACTTTGCAGCAATGCCTCATGGGAAGCATGCATTTCAACATGAATAGAAAGTGTCCTGTTAAGCAGGATCTAAACATTTGTTTCTGTCCTTTGATTTTCATCCAGACACTGAGAGCTTCTAATATGAGCGACAACATCTCAGGCTTTAGAGCCGCCCTATTTAGATCCATCAGACTGAATCAACACGCTAACCAAATTTGCTTAAGGGCGAGGGGAAGAATCACTCTCATTAACATCCGTGTTTTCTTACCTTAAGTGTAGCTGTTGACTTCTGTCTCCATCATGCTGACACCGTAGGAAGGAGAACTTAGCAAGTGGATGAATTATGTGAAAATGTATATACATATGTATAAAAAAATAAAAAATGTGCGTTTTTTTTTTTTCTTGACAGGAAGAGAAAGAAAGCTCAGACAAAGAGAAGCGATAGAAGTCCAGGTAACATGCGTTATTTTAATTGTATTTTTATCCCCTTGTACATTTTACATCCGCTTAAATTTAATGACCCTCCCTCCTCCTGCCCTCGTAGTTTTCCCACATGTCAAGAACAGGACCAAACATCTGGACACTTTAGATTTTCTCTTTTTATGTTAAACTCAAACGGGAACAGTGGCGCCCTCAGAGCTGGGATGGACAAACCGATCCAGGAGGGGTCTCTCCACGCCGGCGGTGAAAGCTGCCGCTGAGAACCTGGCAGGTCAAGGTTGATTAATAAACAGAAAAAGAGGAAGAAAGGGAGTGAGCCTTCCCCCACCCTGGAGCATTTTTTTAGCAGTGCCTTGCTCAGGGGTGTCTTAGCAGGACGGCTGACGCCACAATCTGAGCTTGAACCAGAGCTTTCTGAGTAACTCTGGTCTTTTCAGGACACCCACCTGAGTAACCTATGTATGTTTGTATATATGTTTTTATAAGTGAAATTACAAAACATCATGTTTGTGTGTGTGTGTGTGTTATATATAAATTTAAATTATAAACCTACATCCCTGAGGCAGGTACAGACAGCCTGGCACTGTTCCCAAACCAACACCAGGATATCGACTGTATCGGTACCAGTGGGGATAAGTCGCCCCTGTAGTGGCATTAGATGAACTCAGAGTGCCTGCTTTTTAACATCTATCACTGTTAAGTTCCAACCTATTTTTTTTATCTAATTACAGTATGTTGTTGTTTTAGTGTTCTGTCTTACCTCAATAAAGAACTTTCAGTATTCTGAGTCGAACAATAGATCAGCGTTTCCAAGCAAACGGCGAATTTCTTACCCCAAAAACATTATTTTCTGCAGGGGAGCAAAAATAATTGGCAGACTGTTTGTGCTTCAAGCTCCGGTTGGTCTGGGCTCCTCGGGGACACATCTTAGAAGCTTTCTTTCAAAAACAGCAAAAAAGGCAATACTTGTTTTTGTTTGTTTATTTAAGCAGAACAAAATGTCAGCATTAAAACATATGCCTAAAGATCTTTTTTACACTTAAATACTCTTAAACCACTGTCATCAAACTTCAGTCCTCCAGGACCGATGTCCTCCAGCCTTTAGATGTCTCTTTACTTCAGCACATTTAAATCAAATGATCTGGTCATTAGCCGGATGCTGAGGGTACATAATGACAAGGAGATTGAGGCGTCTTAGAGCGGGGACACCTCTAAAGGATGCAGGACACTGGCCCTCCAGGGCCGTAGTTTGGCACAGCTCTATTCAGAAGCTGACTTACACTCACCCCGTGTCCCCGGAGTGATTGGAAATATGTTTGGATTTTCAAGAAAAATACAAGAGCTGCCGGCGTTGCAGCCTTTCATGAACCGCTAGATATTTAAACAGTAGTGAAGCTGCTTTAAGATGGACAGGAACTCAATCTGGACAGGACACATTTTAAACATGACTGAAGTTTGCAGGCTAGATTTCCTCTTGAAATAAAGTTTTATCAGATTAAATGTGTTTTGCTATTTTCTTTAAAGTAGATTGATACTGAAGACATCTGAACCATTAAGGAACACGTGGAAATTTACGATAAAGTGTAGAGATGGACCTGGATTAGAACAGTAGTTGCTGCTAATCAATGCAGCAACGTCCAAATGGAGCCTAGGTGGAAGTTCAACTGAAGAAACTCATTGCTCTCCTACATCCACCTGCGACACAGACAATCAGCTTTTAACAACACCTTCACAAAAGGTCAATCGGCATCCAAAGTTCATCTTAAAAGGCCTCCGATACGCACCTGTCTGCTCCTGTGCACGGGCGGCAGATTCGCTTTGACTTCATTCAGATGACTCCGTTTCAAGTTAAGGATTCATCAGATTGTCATTCCTCCCGGACTCTCACTGCGTTCCCTGTCTCATCTTAACCGGTCCGGCAGAAGACCGCCATGTTGAGCCTGGTTCTGCCAGAGATCTGTTCCCAACTGGGAGGTTTTCCTCTCCACTGTCGCTTCATGCTTGCTCATCATGGACAGGTTTGTTCAACCTGTGTTATCCAACTGGACTTCCATCTTCCAGGTCCCTGAGTAAAGCTCTAGATCCAGCTCACTCAGTTCACTGGATCTCCCCAGGTTCAGCAAACCGTCTCGCTAACCAGCAGTCTACAGACTGACCAACTTCATCTATCTCCACTCCACCACCAGTTTTAGCCCTGTTCTTTGCTCCTATTCATGCATATCTATCAAAATTCAGCGCTATGTTTCCTGCCGACGTCTGAGCGCCAAAGACAAAGTAATTGTATCAATAAATTTCTCCTAATTGTCTTTTATCTTCGTGTGAGTTTTTCAGATTGAAATATTACTGGAGCTTTAAAAGATCAATAAAGCATTTAGTGTCCATCGGGGGGGTATAAAGTATATTTAAAAGTATCACTTATTTCTCTTCAGATAGTATGAGCATAGATAATAGGAGCCTCTAATCACAATGCAATGACTGAGTGTGTTATTGACTATTTAAACTTGTGTGTGTAGATGACACCAGGGGCGATGCTAGATGGGGGGCAAGGGGTGGCCACCCCTGTCATTTTCTTCCCTCTGATACAGATTGTGGCAACATTAATACTCTTAAGTAAAATGTTCAAAACATTTAAATTTTGCATATATTAACAGTTACTTGACAAAAACACTAGTTTATTATGCACATCAATATAGCAACATTAAAGATAAGTGTATTAAGGCTCTTTTCAGAACTAGATTTTGTGGTGTTTTATTTATATATGTATGTGTGTATGTGAGAAAATGCAAGTCATCTAGAAGTCTTTGGTTAAAAATATTTTAATAAATTTTAAATAATCAATTTATGACTTTATTGATCTCACAGTGGGGAAATTTGCTTTATGTAGATATTAGTACTTTTAATATCAATTTTATGCAGAATGATTATTGATTAAAAGTAGGTAATAATGACAATGGAGAAGGTGTTCGCCCCAGAACTTACACCAGAATTTTATCCACTACCTTTTATCTAGGAAGCATGGATGTTTAAATATGCATATATCTATTTGTTAGCAAAGGCTTTCAGAAAGTATAGTTAGTCTTTATTTAGAAAATATGGATGTTTTGCTCATTAATATTCCTGTTGGAACAGTGTAGATTGACTCTGCGGTTCTGGTGCCTGTCCGCTTTCAGCCACCCATCGATGCACATTGGTTACTGCCTGGCCACCCTTATAAAAATGTTCTGGCTACGCCACTGGATGACACCACCCTTACCAGAATAGGGGGATGCTTCCCCAGTTAAAAAAAAAAAAACCTGGATCACCAGTGATTTGAAAGAACTGCCAAACAAGAGAAAAGGAGCTTTCAGGAAGGGAGCCAGGGAATTAATGAGGAGTATACAGAGGCAGCATAAGGTCAAGGTAAGAGAAAATAAGTAGAAATCTGTGTGGTGGAACACGTCTCAAAATAGCCCTATAACGTATTTCTCTCCATTTGATTTGCTCAAACAAAAAGTGACCATGTCCACGTGGTTAAACCGGATACAGACCACCAGACAATGGCACTTTTTGGGAGTGACAGCCTTGTGGTTTGACTTAGAGAATCGATTTCTGAGGTTCTGAGTTAAAAACCCACGCCCACAGACTGCCACTGTGAGCAAAGACCCTTAACCCCTGATTGCTCCTCGGGCGCCCCATGATGGCAGCCCACTGATCCTACAAGGGAATGGGTTAAATGCAGAGGTAAATTTCTTCAATTTGAGATTAATCAGAATCAGAAAGTTGAATTATTATTTTTAGTACAATTTACTTTACCAAATACTGTTTTTGATTTCCAGTTAAAATTTCTACTTCAGCAAGAGTTCTTTTGGTTTTCCAGTTGTATACATGGGTCATAATATTAACTCTTTTTTTAAATTTCCCTTTTTCTCTAATTTAGTGCCTTTGTTTATCTAGGGCTTCTGTGACATTAAAGCCCATGACAGGAGTGGATGTAATGTTCTCAAAGGACCTATGAGGCTATATTTAGTGGTTATGAGTCATCAGGAAGGACAGCTATTGGTGGTTAGGTATGAAGTTGAAATCAAACATTCTTCTACCTTGTATATGTAATAAGAAACATTCTGAGTCACTGGAGAAACGAACCGTGACTCAGACTTAACATTTTCTTGCATTTTTCCTTCTGTAAATGTCACTTCACTTTCGCTCTTTTCGAAGCAAACACTTAGAGATGATTTTATTTTTAATGTGGCTTAAAAAAAAACCCACATTAGAAATACTGCAGGAAGGCAACACTTCTAAGGATCTGTGTCCGTTCACCTGCAGGCTACCTTTTCTCTCTCATCTGATGGAGTCATCCATCTTCATTTTCCATTCCGTCTCATTTCCCCCTCCACTTTCTCCACCCTCTGAGGGGCTCCTCTCTCTCTCTGCTTGGCGCTCTAATGAAAAGATGATTTGTCTTACTCATCTCGAGTACGCCGACCTTCAGCTCTCGACCGTGTTATTTCCAGATAATAGAGATGAGATGTGTTTGGAGCACAAGACTGAGGATTAACAAGCCCTGAGTTTTTTTTTAAGTTTTTTTTTTTTTGCTCTGCCTCCATTGACCTTCTGATGCTTGCCGGGCTCACCCACGCATCGAATCCCTGTTCTCAGTAAAGGACCCAGGTTTTAAGACCCAAGGATAAACACTGTGAGGAGAAATCTGTTCATTCAGGTCATTATTTGACTGAATTATTAACAGGTAGTCAATAGCTCCCAGGCTGAGTGATGCTTGACTGTGCCGGAGGGAGGATTGACTTTCAAGGTTGTGTTTAGTGAAAAAGGGCACATAGGGTGACACCTCCACACCCTGGGCTTTAGACTTAAAGTCTTCTGGAAACATGCAATAAGATAAATAGCTGCAGGGCGCTGAAGCTGATGGATGACAGTTAGTGAGACAGCTGCAAATATTGACTTCTGATACATCAGTGTGTTTACTTTAGCTTGCACCGGGACATGAAACCACCCCTTTGAGTAAAGTGGGTGAAAACATGGTGGAGCAAATCCATTCATAAGCGACGCATATGTAAGTGTATAGGTGCTATTCTGATCTGTCTCCTGTAGAAGCTCAGAAGCTGTAAATTTATCCCGGGCACTGAATTATTCAGGTCCCCAGACGACAGGTTCCCATGACGAGGCCCTGCTGAATGCACTGCATCCGGGGAGGAGGCACTATCCATCCATCAAAGTTTCCCGTTTCATAATGAGCTCACCTGAAACATCTGTGATTTCCCAGTAAATCTTAGGATTTATACCAAGCATCTGACAAAAAGTTAGATTTTGTCCCATGTG